TTTCCCCAGTGACTTGAGCTCCAACCAACTGACCACTCCCATCCCGAAGGAGATTGGTGCCATGCTCGCCCTCACTAGACAGTCAGTCACTCTATCTGTGACGCATGCACCTTATCTGTGAGATCCTCTATTGATTGTATACACCAAGCTCAAACTTACACACATGGGTCGTGAGCTATGGTGAGAACACACAATTTACTGCTAATGTGGAGACATAAACACCTATGCACAGTCAATTAGAAAGGAACAGTTTAATATTGTTTCCATTACTCAGGGTATGCAAGGTACATGTATAATGTCGCAGTATATCGAGATTTGAATTTATATCACGAATTCAAGACTTTCAAAGCAGCTTGTCAACACATTCATGTAATGTCATCTACATCTATATCAATTTGACCCGACGGCAAAATTGTAAACTGCTAAACATTTCTTCTTCCCTCTCCGATCCTTTTATGTTTCAATGCCAACCTCTTGTTTCCTGCTTCTTTCCTCCTCGGGGTCACTTCCTCACCTTTCTTGCTCTTTCCGCATAACTTTTTCTGTCTTTTATTGCTTGCCTCCCTGGATCTCTGTTTGTCGCTTCTGTTCACTCTCACCCTTTTGTTTCAACTGGCCTACGTTTCACTTATTTTGCCTCCCACCACTTGTGTAAATTTGGTTGCATTCAGCTATTCAGTTCGCTTCTCTATTTTGCTCTTCCACTTGTTGCTCTTCTGCTCCCTTCTCCCCTATTCAGTCACCACTCCCTTCCCCCACAGTCACTTTCCCTTCCCTCTCCTGCAAACTGCACAGCCATCCATGCTGCCGTCTCAGATTTTGCCTGCCATCCCTTGCACTACATCATACATCACGCCGTCCGTCCACTACTGCCTTCCCTTTCTTTCCTCAGCGACCTTTCAACCAATCAGCTTTTAGGCAGCATCCCTGCCAGCTTCGGTGATCTCAGTCGAATCAACTCCTTGTAAGCACATACATCTACATAACTCTAATCCTTGTAAACTCCCTGATTGTGTGCCGCAGAGGGAAGTTGACAGACATGTACATGAATATCAATGACACTTTGTCTGAACAAAGAACACACGACCTAACTGGGACAATAAAGGAAGAAGTGTGTACGTTAGCAAGCAAACCAGATGCAGAAACCATACTAGTCTTTGCCACATTAGTCGTGATAATATGTGTTGACACAAGGTACAGTGTACAACATACAAACGAGTTATATCAATGGATCGTACTGCCATGCTGACCCTGCTACGCGATGTCATTCACAATCAATCTCAGAGATGCCCATCCAGCAATCTCAGCTCTCATCCCATCCAAAATCCCCTCTGTGTACCCTATCTAACATCTGTACAACCACAGATATCTGTATCAAAATCAGCTCTCTGGCTCAATCCCTGCCGTCATTGGCACCATGTCATCCCTTCGGTCTCTGTAAGGCATCTCGCTCTTCCTTTTAATGCTTCCCTCCCCCCTTTTTATTGTCATCGCACTCCCTGATCTTATTTCCTCCGTCTCCTTATCATCCCTTCGTACATCCATTACATTTTCCTGGTACTCTATTGCAGTGCAAGAATACTATCCCTGTGGTAAGCAGTAAATGTTTCCGTGCAGGTTGTTTTGTTTCTAGCTATACCATTTTGGCCAATTACGGACCAATTTTCCGTTCCCATATCATTCATGTTGCTTCATGCACTGCGCACAAAACCAAAACCTACTCAATTATTTTGTATCTGGACACGCCCAATCTTTCCTCTCAGTAGTCTTTCTTTGGCGTATTATTCCAAACTTCTAATCCCCTGAGTGCTCAACTAAATCAGTTGGCTGATTTACCAAATTCGCTCGTCGGCTCGGCTCATCGACCCGCCCCCTGTATATAAAATTGAATCTTGTCTGTCGTTGACATAAGGAGCCGGGCCTGGCAAGGACTCATCTTGTGCCGTATGGATGGCTGATGTGCTCCCATCCCTTGCCATCAACAGCTACCTCGACTCCAACAAGCTGTCAGAATCCGTGCCTTCCACAATAGGGAAACTCACAGGACTCACAAGCTTGTAAGCAGCATATCCATCTAATACATACATATGTGTGCTTCTCTATTGTTCAGCTGTTCCAATCGTAAATGGTACATGTACCGTTCCTCTTGGGTATTTGGAGGCATTCTGGCGCATTCAACTAGTTTTCCCACTTCTACCTCCTCCCAAGCCCTAGCATCTCCAAGCTTTGCAAGCAAGTAAAAACTGTGTAACATCAACAACCACGTGTCTCCAAACGCCTGTTTGGTTCGTCCAAACATGTTCGTGACAGAACCGAACCAAACATGTTTTTGGGCCAAAAATTGTTCGGCCGAACATGTTCGGTGATTGCCCGTTGCTCATGTCTATGTCTCTCTATACTGGGACAAGTCAAAACGCTTTGCTCATTCCATGTCCACTCCCCTCTGACCTGTCACCATGTATGTTGCACTCATCATAACCCCCTCTTCCTTGTTAGGGTT